GGAAGGGTGACCCAGGGCCAATCTTTAACCCCTCTCAAAGGACTGTTGTCAGGAGGAAATGGGGCAGGGGCTTATCACGGCCTCGGACTCCTTAGAGGAAGGGACGGAGGCAGGGATTAAGATGCAAGGCATGGCATGGAGGGAAGGTACGGGGCACTGAATGGCGTGGACAGCCAGTCTGTCATAGGACTGGGACATTAAAACAGCCCTGTAGCGAGCTGAGACAAGTGGCCCCTGGGCAGGGTCTCCTCTCTTCGGTTCTTGTTTGCGAGAGAGCCAGTTTGGTGTAGTGGTTAAGTGCACGGACTCTAGTCTGGGAGAAGTGGGTTTGATTCCCCACTCCTCCACTTGCAGCTGCTGGATGACCTTGGGCAAGCCGTAGTTCCGTCAGAGCTGTCCTTGAAAGGGCAGTTCTGGAAAGAGCTCTCTCAGCCCCACCGACCTCACAGGGTATCTGTTGTGGGGAGGGGAAGGGAAAGGAGTCTGTAAGCCGCTCTGAGACTCTGAGTGAAGGGCGGGGTGTGCTGCCCCCAGTCAGCGTTTAATTGTAGTTAAGAAGAACTGCCATATATCTTTAAGAGCAGTTGCCCCTGGGAATTGAAGTCTTTAGTTAGGCATCCCAAAGCATCCCTGTGACTGGCTGATTAACAGTCATTTCCTGCACCCAGAGGCACGAGGATTTGAGTTTACAGCTCTCTTCCCGTTTCTTTGTCTACCCTTTAAGCGGCAAGGAGGTGGGAGCACGCAATCTTTTTCACCATGAGCCAGTGAACTGAATTAAATTACAAAGATGTGAACTTCACCAGTTATTCAGCCTCGATTGTAAGTAAAGAAATCTTCTGAATGCATGTGGAGGAGCTTAATGAGTTAAATGGAGTTTAAGTTGTGGGGAAAAGATTGTTCTCTGGTGTGGTAGTAAATAAGTGACCTTAATAAGTTCTGGAAAATATAATAGCTACTACTTTGAATTTTTATGTAAAATCAGGTCATATCATAATTAATGAATTAATGTGGGTGGTATTGGATATGAAGTAGGAAATGGTGATAATAATTCTATTTATAATTTGATTTTCTAGGAATTAATTGTCTATTTATAAGTAGTTGATTGAGATACATGTATGAATGGTGAAGAAAAGAATGAATATTAAGGGAATAACAAAGGAATCTTAATAGAAGTTAACATGGTGATTAATATAAAAAATAAGTGGCAGATATGGGGATAATTGTCTAAGTCTTTTGTTTTTGGCTCCGTATTAGATAATTTGGAAAATTTTATAGATATAATACAGGAGTAAAAAAGGTATGAAATGCGCGATATGTAACTTCATTGGAATAACATCAGATATAAGAGATTAATGAATTTACTATGGTTTTGTAGATGTGCCTAAAATTATGTACTTGTATTTCTTTTGTTTGTTTGTTTGGAAAATTAATAAATAGATTATTTTAAAAAAATGATTTAATTCTACTTTACTCTGGCCGTGCGTTGAATCACATCCAGAAGGTGCTGTTGACTCTTGACTTAGCGCCAGACGGAACACAGGGTATAAATCAAATCTCTTCTTCTTGTCTTCTTGTTCTGCTCAATGTGAAGTGCATTGAGGGAGCCATGTAATTCACAAAGGAATAAAAAGAATTCCCATAAACTGTGGCCTTTCTAAGGCCAGGGAAGAGACCACTACTGTCTCCCTTCATTCACACCACCGATGAAAGAATTCCCCAAGGGGGCTCTCGCGTTTCCTGTATGGGGAGGGGGGAAAGGAAGAGCTCCTTTGCCCTGGCCCCTGCCTCTCACGAGGACGCCTCTCCACCATCACAGAAGGTCCTCCTTCCCTCACCTGCTGAGTTGAGGCGTAGGTAGACCTCCCACCATGGCTACTCTGGGACATCCTTAGGTTTGCCAGCCTCCAGATGGTGGCTGGAGATCTCCTGGGATTACAACTGATCTCCAGGCAACAGAGATCAGTCCACCTGGAGAAAATGGCCGCCTTGAAAAGTGGGCTCTATGGCGATATAACCCATTGAAGCCCCTCCCCTCCCCAAACCCGCCCTCCTCAGGCTCAAACCCCCAAATATCCAGGTATTTGCCAACCTGGAGTTGGTAACCCTAGTTGTTCTCCCACAGGGGCTCCTCCCTGTTGCTCCCTGGTGTGAGCAACCAAGCCTTGTCCTAGCTCATCGTCTACCCAGCGATTTGAAACCACCCGTAAGGGGGTGGGCACACCCCTCCCTTTGGGAAGGTGTTAGCTGCCGAGGCAACTTCTGAGGCGCAGTGACCGGAAAGACGAAGGAACTGTGTCGGCTTCCCTGCAGTGGAGCGAGTCGGCCAGGCGGTGGCAGTGTGTGGCTGCACGACATCAAGAAGCCAGACGTCATCAGCCAGCCGACAAGATGCCGTAGGAACACGACTGACCCAGCCCGCAGATGAAGCCCGGCTAGCTGCAATGTGTGTGTAATTAATGCTGTATGTTTGTCTTCCCTATCCCCACAAATATTGTTAGTCCAACTGTCTCAAGAGTAACTGTAAATCGGTCTGAGCTCGCAGGTATGTGGGAAAGAGCGATCAATAAATCGAAAGCATTACTACTACTACTACTTCTACTACTACTACTACTACTACTACTACTACGGCCCGAAAGAACATGGCAGGAACTGAAGTTTTGTTGTCCTGCACAGAACAGCTTTGCTTCTGTCTGGCCACATGGCTGCGGGTCTGTCTCTACCGCTGGGATGGGAACTGCACCTGACACAAGCGTCCCGAGCCCCCCCCCTCCTCTAAGCCCACCTGCAAGTTAGGTGAGAAACCCCAAACAGAGACACCTCCCTGTGCAATGGAAAGCCTGACACGGGAAGGGACCTTAGGAGGTCTACTCAGAAGTGAGGCCCATGTTACTCATTGTGGCATACTCTGAAGAAAGGATCCTCAGGATTGCAGCTGCGAACACACTCCCGGCTCTTCACCTGTGGTTCAGGATATTTCCATTCCGCTACTGAACTGCAGACCGGAAAGTCGGTAATTCGGCGGTTCGAGACCCGAGTACTGCAAGACGGAGTGAGCTCCTGTCTCTGGTCCCAGCTCCTGCCAACCTAGCAGTTCGAAAGCAAGGAATCGCAAGTAGATTAATACGTACCGCTTCGGTGGGAAGGTAACAGCGTTCTGTGCGCCTCAGCATCTAGTCATGTCAGCCACGGAAATGTCTTCGGACAGCACTGGTTCTTCGGGCTTGGAAATGGAGATGAGCAGTGCATCCCTAAGGTTGAATTTGGCTGGCTTTCGAACAAGGGAAACCTTTACCTAAGGTTCCTTTGGGCATCTACTCTGGGGTGCTTTCAATCACACTAAATAACGTACTTTCAATTCACTTTCAGCCCACTTTGCGACTGGGTTTTACTGAAGTGGATTGAAACTGCATTATTTGGCATGTGTGAAAAGTGCCCGGGGCACTTACCACATTCCTTCCAAGGGCTGGCCACTCATTTAGATGGCTTTAAAAACAGACAAGGCATACTGGAGGATCAGGCCATCAATGGCTGTTACAGGACACAGATAAAAACAAGATCCTGTGTGGGCCTAAAGCTCTGAGAAGTACTGAAACTGAGGGGAATATTGCTGCACGTGAAGTCTTGAGGGAACAAGAAAAGCCAGGTCTGGGGGTGGCAACGAGATAAATCTTTTTCCCCCTCTTCACCTATAGTGGCCTACCTTAAAGGAAAGCTGTTTATATCCCTGGGGATATTCAAGAGGGGCATGATTAAAAAAAATTACATCTTCAAACAGCCAAGGATCAAAGGCAGCCTTCTCTTGCCACAAAAACATCAACGGAATATGAACTTTCTCCTGGCTAATTTTATGCTGAACAACTCCATTTGCATTAAAAAAAAATAAGACTCTTTTATTTGTTTTTAGCAGATAATGGAATAGCCCAAGTGGAACCCAAATTGTCTTTATAAATTCTACATGTGTACAATTTTTCCAGCAATATTAAGTGGAATCGCTAAACCCCCCCCCCCACACACACACATCCATTCCAGGAGGTTATTTTATTACACCACAATTGGTAGAATTCTGCATCAGGGCTTTTTACATGTGCAATCAGAAACAAAATGTGCAGTTCTACAGGGGGGAATATGCTGTTCCAAAATAATGTTTGTGCGGTCCAACAGAATTCAGGTCATGCAAAACTTAGGTAGATCCATTTCTCTAGGCCCTGCCAAAGACAATTCTTGAAGACTCCATGGCCTCTCTTTACAGACTATTTCCCAATGCAGTCAGTATACGTTAAAAACAAAGTCTCAGTCCAGTGGCACCTTTAAGACCAACAGAGTTTAATTCTGGGCATAAGCTTTCACGTGCATGCACATTTCTTCAGATTACTGACCTGAGTATATGTTAAGGTTCAACTAATTTCTTCTCTTTGTTGTAGTTTATGGATTTATGGATTTATGTGGTCTCAGGATTAATATTTGACTTCCCAGTTGTTCCCACAGGATCTGATACAGTCTGTGAATTCTGGGGCTCACTTTTATTTCCTCCTCCCACATATTGTTTATTTTATACCACGTTCTTTTTCTTTAGCGAATGCAGCCGCAGGGATTGCTTTATCAAGGAGCAGAACAGTGCGGGCAGAGTGGGGAAATGTTCATCCTTTCCTCCCCCTTCCTGTTTTCTCACTAGAAAAAGATAACCAGAGTTCCTTTAAGCCCCAGTGTGTGTGTGTGTGTGTGTGTGTGTGTGGGAATACAGGTACCCATACATTTTCCCTGGCAAAAGTAAACATATCGGGGGGGGTGTGCTTTTTCCAGTTAGAAAATTGCAAGAAAGGAAAGGGTTAAAGCTTCCCACTCTCCCCGTGCAGTTCTCTTCCTTGATAAAGCAATCCTAGAGACTATATATTTTAAAAAAACCCCAACACCTATAATAAACAGGGCATATTTGGTTAAATTCCTAGTTCTAAGGATTTTTTCTTCCACTAGACTTCTAAAAGTCATGGGATGTGATTCTAGGTCACAAAGCATTTGGCATATTGCAGCAGGGAGTGCTATGTGCATGAATTCCAATCTCCTACCAGTGTGCAGTTCCAAATTTTCTTTTCAAAAATGCCCTGTTCTGTATGCTTGGTAACTCGGCCACTTGCAGTATTTTAGAACTGATCTAAAGAAATGTCTGATGGTCGTCAGGTCAGAAACAGGCAAAGAGCCAGGTGAAGACTGGACAGCAAGATGACCATGGAGCCATGACTGGCCGGAGCTTGGTTGCACTGCAGTGTAACCAGGAAGTCCCGGGACTGAGGAGGGGATTGGCAGATGTAGTCATGAGGCCAGTTGGCCAGTGAGGACAGCTTGCGTGCCAAGTCCTGGAGTTCCCGGGTGTAAGGGCAAGAGCAGTTATAGAGATTGTGGCCAGCTTTCAAGATCTGCAGGTGCTTCAGCTGCAGCAGGCTCTGGCCAGGCAGATGTGAGATCTGGTTTCGATCGACACTGAGGGCTTCCAGACGAGGGAGATTCTTGACGGAGGGGACTGCCTGCAGACTGTTATTGGACAGGTAGAGTTCCTTCAGGGCAGGGAGTGAGAGGTCAAGGGTCAAGATGCTGTTGGCGCTCAGGTCTAAGGTCTCCAGGTTGGGTGGCAGAGGCCATTCCACGCGCTCTAGCCCTGTGCTGGACAGGTTGAGAACGCGAAGGGACTGAGGCCACGTGCACTCGGAGGAGGGCGAGAAACCAGGCGGGAAATCATTCTGACTGAGGTCTAAATGAGCGAGCACGTCGAGGGGGGCAACTGTCTCGCACACAGCGTCGTAAGAGGTCAGCCGGTTGTGGTGGAGTTTTAACACCCGGAGTTCTGGGAAAGCTCCCTGGCAGAAAGAGGACCTGATGCTCTCGTCCTGGAAATGGTTTCCCGAAACGTCAAGGAAACGCAGCCCAGTGAACAGCTGGCCGATTTTGCACGGGATGGAGGTGACCTGTGATTCGGTGAGCGTCAGCGTCTCCAGGATCTCCAGCCATCTTGTCAGGCCGGTCAAGTCGTTGCGCCTGTCAGCCAGGGACTCAGCGGTCACTTTGTGGAAACGCAGAGAAGAAACCTGCAGCGGGGGAGGCCTAACCGTGTAATGCTGGCCGGCTGTCCTAAGGAACGTGCAGTTTACAAATTCGATTTCTGAGAGCAGAGGAGGATGGGAAGCGATTTCCAGGGCGCCTGGCAATAGAACCTCTGGTATGGCGAGGTCTGTAAAGATGAGCTTGCTGACCGGCAGGGCCTTGACGATATCGATAATGTACAGAGATGGCACCCTTCCTGAAAAGATGGCAAATTGTTCCAGGTTTCCACCTCGAAGCTCGTATGTGGTGGCTTGCAAGCATTCAAAAATGTCTTGCGTCTCTGACTCCTCAAGCAGTGAACAGACGCAGAGTTTTTCAGACTCAAAAAAAACACAGTTGCCTTTCGCCTTGGGGAGTTTCAGTCCCAGGAGAAGGAGGGACACAAAGGCCTGCGTTCTGCACATGATACCAAGCCTGGAAAAGAGAAGAATCACAGGAAATCTACGTTAGGAAGTTAAAAAATGATAAACATGCATCTATGTCCTTTGATGGATGAAGGGGTCGTTTCGTAGAAAAAGAGCTAGGGGAACTCATTAGCATAACTCATTAGCATATGCCACACCCCCTGACATCACCGGAAGTGTGTCATAAGGCCACACCCCCTGACATCACCGGAAGTGTGTCATAAGGCCACACACCCCGCCCCCAACGGTCCCGGCTGCCACCGGCAGTCTTGCAGCTCCACTGCCGAGCCCCATGAGGGGCCCGGCGGTGGACCTGCAAGGCTGGCGGGAGTGCGAGGAAGCCCCGCGAAGGCCCTCCCTGGCCCCAGGCAGGCAGGGGTGGGTAGAGGAAGAGAGGAAGCAACTTACCCTCCCTCTTCTCCTGCCTCCTCCTGGCTGAATGAGGGCCGGAAGTGGGGCGGTCGGAAGCAGGGGGCGGGGCTTCGTCATGTGCCCCGCCCCCCATACCTCACCCGGGGGAACTGCGATCCCCCGCAATCCCCCCCGAAATGACCTCTG